ACATAATTGTATTTTATTTTGAGTCTACGATATTAAGTTAGTTTTAAGTTTATAGCTTGCAAAATACTGTCATTATTTTGTTTTTTTTTTTTTTCAAGTGCGAAAATGTTTTTGGGAGAGTTGATTAATTTTTTTTTTTTTTTTTAAGGGAAGTTTCTATTGATTCTGTTATATATGTTTTTTAGAAAAAAACACAAAATGTATTATTCTTTAAATATTTAATATAAATATTATCTAATGCTCTTCTGTAAGGATTTTGTAATTTTTTAAATTTTATATATTTAGTATTAGGAGAAGCAATATAGTCTATATATTACACTCTCTCTAAAATAAAAGTAGTTTTGATACTGGATTTTTTAAATATTTTAACTATTACTCATTCTCTCCTTAATCAAAGTTATTCTGCATATCAAGTTATCAGACATCCTTGGAATACAAAAATAGTAATAAACTAATCTCAAAACATATAATTGTTCATTACAATAACACTTTAAAACTGAAAATCAGGATTCTAAAATATTCAGATTTTGAATAAGGACCTTATAGAGATAAATTTATATTAATTTATTATTTAATCTTTTTATACAACTAAAGATTGAAAGACATTTCAGACTATTACCAGATCTTCCAAGATCATCTGAAAATAATCAGAGAACCAATCATAATCTCATATTAATTTAAGTCAGAGAATTAAATTGAAATAATTATACTTTCATCAAGTTATTAAATAACATAGAGATATTTCTTTTTTGTTATTTTATTTAAAGTAAAAGAAATACAAGGTCAGCTACAAAAGTAGATATTCTTTATAAATTAAAAATACAATTCAAATATAAAAGAAACTTTATGAAAGCTGCGTATTTCGGTTCTAGATATATTTGTGTGTAATTTGAGAAATGATGCAATGATAGCTAATTCGTAATTAAAATTAATTTACTTTAAATATGTTCTCTGGATTAGTCACTAAAGAAATTAAAAGATTAATTTAATGAGGAATCACATCATTTAATTAGAGTATGAAATAAATTACTTGAAAGACAACATAAAAAATCATACTTAAATAGAAGGATAAACCAAAAACAATTTAAGGAATTGATTGTATAACTAACTTTCTGTAAAGAAAAGTATTATGGTTATGAAGAAGATAATTAAGGAAATTGTGGTTATAATTATTAAACTTCTTTAAGAATTAGATTGATCCTTCATTTAAAATGAAAAATTGGTTCATATTCAAGTAGATTCTCATAATAATCTTAAGATGTGAATTCTTTAGACAAATCATGTTTATTTAAAACAAGATTTGTTGTTTTAAAAGGACATACATATATAGTATTTTTGTGTTTTTTATCATTTGGATTGCTTACTAATTCTTTTAAGTCTTCTGGATTGACCAATGTTATCTAGAGTTATGACAAAGCTTCTAATGAGCCTTTTCCACATGATCCTGTTGAACCCATTACTCCACCCTAATTTATTAGAATGTCCTCTTTCTTTAATTACTTAATCTGCTTTCTATAAGGCTTATTAAGCAATTTTTTTATAATAATATTAGAATGGACATATTTACAAGAATGGAGTATTCATATCTCTTTTTAGTAAATACTTACCATATTCATTCAAAAATGAAAAAATTCCTGATATCCCTGCATCAGATAATGTTAACATTATAATCTAACATATTTTTAATTTACGTTATCATCATAAATTCGTTCATACTCTAAATGTCTAATATTTTTCTTAAGCATCACATCTAATGCTGGCATATTATATGGTTCTGCTTCTAAAGTATGTGACCAATTTAAATAAGTCATTCCTTCAATATATTTTTCTAGCAGGATTTCTTTTATACAAATTATTGCTTTGCATATTGATAAATCTTCTTAAACGAAGCCTCCTACCTCTATATATTGATCATCTCTAAATATTCTCTTTGTAGAAGGATACACAACTATTTAAATTCGTTCATGCTAACAATATTTTAAATTAACTTACTTTTTCCATTATATACTTGCAATAATATGAGGAAGATTTGGTGTTCTTCTTTCCATATACGATTTAACTTCAGCACGTATGCCAATATACAATTTGTCCATTTTCATTACATCATACATTTAATCACTCTTTTGCATGATTTTAATAAATTCTATTAATTAAAGCTTTTAAATTCATTTTTACAAATTTTAGCAAAGCATTTTCTTAAGATTTTAAGATTTCAAATGATATGATTATTTAATAATATAACTAAATTTATAAAATAGGATTATTAAATCACTATTTCCATGTAAATGTTTTTCTCTTTCTTAGAATTAGAATCTATTTGATAAGATCATAATTGATTAGACTTATATCTTTCTTAATTTTAGGGCTTCGATTTTCAAAGCTTTGATATACAGCCTTCTGATTTTCAAAGCTTTGATATTCAGCCTTCTGATTTTCAAAGCTTTGATATTCAGCCTTCTGATTTTCAAAGCTTTGAATATCAGCCTTCTAAATTTTAGGGTCCTTAATTTAAATTTTAGTGTTCATAAAGGCTTCAAATAGAATTTTAGGAAAATTATCTATTAAGTCTTGAATAATTTGTATAATCCTTTGCATTTATGCCACTTAATATTTAAATTAAGTGGCAAATTATGACCAATTATTTTAATGTCTAAGAGTAAATAGATGATGTTACGATTATCTTTCCTAATTATTATTCTGCTATATTCTAGTAGTGAAAGAAAGCGGATATCTAGTTTCATGATTAAAAGTATTGTCTTAACCAAATAAATGGAATGGTAATAACTCATTTTCATCCTGATATATTCTACTAGTGAAAAATAATTCCACTTGAGGATTTCTAGTTTAATAGTTAGGAATTTAAGGAATTTGGCTCTAAACCAACTCTTTTTCCTAAATGATTGTCAGATGATTTTAATAATTAAATTTTTTCAAGATCATTAAGGCTTTTAATTAAATTTTTAATTCTATTAGATAAATCTATTAGACGATTAAGCAATTTTATAAAATTTATAAAATTAAAGGTAATTAATGAAAATTTATACATTTTTTTAGTTATAAATTTTTTTAATTCTTACAATTTTTTAAGTAATTTTATTATATTGAATGTCAATAATCAAATAAGATAACTTTTATTAAAAACTAATTGTTAGTATTCAAAAGCAATAAATGCAAAATAAAAGCTAAAATAGAAAATGAACAAGTTTTGTAGGGATTTGGATATTAAAAGGGGAGTTAATGTGTATTCGAGATTCAGAAATCAATTAAATATAAAAAGAATGAAAATTAAAAATTATTTAAAAAAAATAATTCTATTGTCAACAATATTATTTTCATCATGATTGTAGATATGATTCTACAAAGATTATATAGTGAGATAAAGTTAATGATACAATAGATTAATTTTTTAAAAAACACTTAATTAGCTTATTGACACAAATTTGAAATAATTAGTAGAGGAAATTTGTAGAAATGATAAAAAATAAATTATTTTAGATATTTATTTGTAGAAATTAATGAAATAAGAAAAGGAGAGCATTGTAGTAATTTTTAAGATTGTTTTTTGACATATATATCAGTGGCAATATACTTTATGNTTGATATACAGCCTTCTGATTTTCAAAGCTTTGATATTCAGCCTTCTGATTTTCAAAGCTTTGATATTCAGCCTTCTGATTTTCAAAGCTTTGAATATCAGCCTTCTAAATTTTAGGGTCCTTAATTTAAATTTTAGTGTTCATAAAGGCTTCAAATAGAATTTTAGGAAAATTATCTATTAAGTCTTGAATAATTTGTATAATCCTTTGCATTTATGCCACTTAATATTTAAATTAAGTGGCAAATTATGACCAATTATTTTAATGTCTAAGAGTAAATAGATGATGTTACGATTATCTTTCCTAATTATTATTCTGCTATATTCTAGTAGTGAAAGAAAGCGGATATCTAGTTTCATGATTAAAAGTATTGTCTTAACCAAATAAATGGAATGGTAATAACTCATTTTCATCCTGATATATTCTACTAGTGAAAAATAATTCCACTTGAGGATTTCTAGTTTAATAGTTAGGAATTTAAGGAATTTGGCTCTAAACCAACTCTTTTTCCTAAATGATTGTCAGATGATTTTAATAATTAAATTTTTTCAAGATCATTAAGGCTTTTAATTAAATTTTTAATTCTATTAGATAAATCTATTAGACGATTAAGCAATTTTATAAAATTTATAAAATTAAAGGTAATTAATGAAAATTTATACATTTTTTTAGTTATAAATTTTTTTAATTCTTACAATTTTTTAAGTAATTTTATTATATTGAATGTCAATAATCAAATAAGATAACTTTTATTAAAAACTAATTGTTAGTATTCAAAAGCAATAAATGCAAAATAAAAGCTAAAATAGAAAATGAACAAGTTTTGTAGGGATTTGGATATTAAAAGGGGAGTTAATGTGTATTCGAGATTCAGAAATCAATTAAATATAAAAAGAATGAAAATTAAAAATTATTTAAAAAAAATAATTCTATTGTCAACAATATTATTTTCATCATGATTGTAGATATGATTCTACAAAGATTATATAGTGAGATAAAGTTAATGATACAATAGATTAATTTTTTAAAAAACACTTAATTAGCTTATTGACACAAATTTGAAATAATTAGTAGAGGAAATTTGTAGAAATGATAAAAAATAAATTATTTTAGATATTTATTTGTAGAAATTAATGAAATAAGAAAAGGAGAGCATTGTAGTAATTTTTAAGATTGTTTTTTGACATATATATCAGTGGCAATATACTTTATGTTGTTTATTTTTATAAAATATCCAGAAAGGTTCAAAATAAATAATTACATGTAATAATAGGTATTATAGAAGATGAAAATGTTTGAGATTGCCATAGTTGAAATTAAGTTAGATTGAATGCATTTATAAATGTAAGAATATGATAATTTTTTAGGAAGTTTTGAGATTAAAAAATGCTGATTAAATAGATTAGTAGCCTAAAGAGAAATACAAGAATTATTTATAAAATAAAGAGAAGTATAAGTTAAGTATTATACATCCAGTTAATATAGTTAATAGGAGAATAAAGAATGATGTAATTATATTATGACATCAGCATTTCAGATATACTTGGAAGTATTTAATTATAAGATATAGTTGGTATATATGATTTAATGAAATGATATTCTAGTTAGAGTAAGAGGAAAAAATTAAGATTGATGAAAGTATAAATGGTAGTAAAAATGATCTTATAATTATCATCATTATACAATTTATATTTAATCTTGATCAAAAAGTTTATTTGATAAGGCAATAGTATTTCATAGTCATTTGGTTATAAAGTGGAGAATTAGAAAAAATTTATGATCTATAATAATCAAGGAGATGAATTTTTAAATATAATATAAAAGAATTCTAAAGATTTTAATAAGGACTCATATTAGAAAGAGTTCAAATGAATCTTCAAAAAGTAAAGTTAAATTGTTTTTATCTTCATCTTCATGATGCTTGAAGTATAACTCTAAAATTTGATCTTCCCATTATTCATAATCAGCATTATTCAAAGTTATTTTTTGATTATTAATTGTGTAGGGAGAGTTTGAGTTGAATGAGTATTTACTTAATCTACCCATTTAATCTACTTCTGGATTACTCCCTTTAACAATCAATTAGATCTATTAAACTGAATTGAGATTTGATTTCATTGGATGTAGATATTGTCTTAAATAAATAACTAATTCTACCCTATAATATCTCTATTTCTCCTAGTTTTGCTTAATAGAATTGCATTTTATTTAATACATATACTGCATTAATTTTTGATTAATTATTCTTAATTCTATTACAAAATCATATTTATTCAATAGTAGGATTCAAAAAATATACCAACCAATCATTTATCTGTTTTTAGTGAAGTGTTAGTATTTTATGATAAAACATAAAAAATAAAAAAAATTTTTATATATAAATACTAATTATAACTCAGGGATAATAAATGGATTATATGGAAGTCTAAGGAAATTATAGAATTGATTTCAATCTCATATAATGAAGAAATAGCATTAATAAGAAATGAAATTCAAAAATGGAATGACAATTATTAAAATTATTGAATATTTGAGATTTTGCTAATGATGCTTTTAAATAAAAGAATTTTAATTTCAGTTGTTATTTTACTGAATAATCAGATAAATTATAAAATTGTTTTAGAGATAAAAACTTCTAACTTCTTAATAAAAATTGAAATATTGTTTAATCTATAATCTTAAATATTAAATATAATATCCAATCACAGAATGATATACCATATGATATATAGAATTGTTGAGAAAAAAGATGTGATATATGAAATCAAAATAATAAATTAAGAAATTGGTACCAAACAATCCATAAATATGGTTATGTATACTACTTTATTAAATGTGCAAAGATTAATTTGGCTAAGAAAATTAAAAGAAAATATATTATGAAGAAGATTGCGATACAGATTAAAATGATATTTATAAATATACCTTAAAATTTAGAATTTACAAAGAGTTAGTTACATAAGTATGTTAAATTTGAATAAATTGATTCTACTCATTATGTTTATTGATTATGATAAATTAAAAAATTAGTGATACTTAGATGACAAAATCCACTTATTCAGATAACTAAACTTAATCTGAGTCTAATATCATTTTCTATCATTCTTACAATTAACTTAATCAAATAAAGACATTGACACAGATAAATTAAGTTATGACAAGATGTTGTCTTCAAACGGTGTTGATTTAAAATTTGAAGATTTTGATACAAAAATAACTAATTCATAATAAGTTGTATCTCCTGTCTCATCTATTACTTCATATGATTTAGATTAAACTTAAAAAAGTTTAGATATTCAACCATATGGAAATGTCTCATATAATTAAACAATTTTTTAATTATTTAGAAGTAACAACTAGAGTTCTGGAAGTTTATAAATGTAAATCGATGATTTTTTGATTTTGAATAAATTGTATAATAATGCAACATTGGTGAATGTAAATGGTCCTACGCGTTTTGGTTAATATTACGATGTTATAACTATTTTATAACCATAAAAAAGAAGAACCGCTTTTCTACAAATTGTGATTTCTGATTTGGTAGTTTTAATATTATTATTTGAGATTTAATGCGGAATAAAAACTTTAAATTTTATATTGAAAAATGCCCTCTAGAATGCGAAGTTTGTGATAATTTTGATTATTTAGATTATTATAAATGGAAGCTTTATAAATTAGCTTTTTAAATCAATATTAATTTTCAACCCTATAAGGGTGGTCAACTGAATTAGATTGGACTTTTTAAAAGATTAATTTTTGTAGATGGATGGGAATTCAATGAATTTTAAAATTTGTATAATCCATAGTGTGGTAATCAAATTATCTAAGATCTTGAATAATGTGATGATGGTAACGAAATCCCAAATGATGGATGCTATTAATGCTAATTTTAATGTGATATGCATTGTAAAATTTGCTATTTTGGAATTCGTTAAGAATGTGAAAGTGGATATCTTGTTGCAAATGATTGGAATATATTTCCGTAATGTTTACTTGAAATTATTGATCTTGATGAAATTTGCATTGATGTTTAAGAATTTATGTTAGGAATGTGAAATAGGTTATACACTTAATAGTGGAGATTTTACTTCAAAATGTGGGATGGAATAATTATTTCAGAATATGAATAATGTGATGATGGTAATTAAATATAATTTGATGGTTGCTATCAATGTAAATATTCTTGCCAAATTCTATGTTCTAATTGTTTTTAAGGAGCTTGCTTACAATAAAACTAAGAGGATGATTAAAACTTAGCTACTCCTACTAATCATTATTGCGGAGATGGTTTATTTTTTTTCTTCACATTCTAAAACATCAATTTCATTTGCAATAATTATTTTAAAGCATCCCTCAACCATTAAATCATATCCTTCTTAACATTCTTAACAGATACCTTAAATGCATTTGGAACAATTAATTTCACATTAGAACATACATTAATAACAACCATCATATTTAATATCATTGAAATCTTCACATTCTTCTAATCCTTACTCAATTATTCCGTCTCAACATATAGGCTTGCATTTCTTATTTTCATCCATTTCGAAATTGTCTTTACAAAATAAACAAACTCCAGATAAAGGACATGAGAAACAATTTTGATCACATTCAAATTTGCAATCATAACACCCATCATAAGGATTATAATTGCCATCATCGCATTATTCTTAAGAAGCAATAGCCAATTAACCATCTCCACATACTTGATAGCATCTATTGTCTATAATGTTCCAACCATCAATACAAATAGAGCATTTTTGATCTATACAGTATTTACATTCTAATTAGCAACTTTATTAGCATTTATAACAACCATCAAATTATATATTGTTTAAGTCATCACAAAATTCATTATCAATCATCATTCCATCATTACATATTGGAAGACATTTTTTCTCACCCCAAGAATACGTATAAAAGTTTTACATTCTAAGCATTAATCAAATATACCACGTAAACAATTTTCTATAAGTGATACTTTACATTGATGATAAAAATATCCAAAAATATGGTGTGTTTACAGGTCACAATCAACATTATGAATTGGTAAAGGATTAGCAAATTAATCATGTAATAATTTATGATAATAATTACCATAATCTTAAAAATTAGAAATTTAAATAGAAAATTGATCTTATGATTAATAATCTTAACTTCCATTTATTTCTTCACATCTTTAATCAATTAAATTGTAATTTGATAGGCATTCTAAACACTTACCAAATAAGCAAGAAAACTTGCAATTGAAACAACCATAATATTCTTATTAATTCTCATCATCGCATTCTTCATCATATATAATCAATTTATCTCCACAAATAGGAAAGCATGTTTCTAGTAATATATTATATTCCCATCCTTCCTTGCACTCAATGCAAATGCCTCTAATACAATTACTGCAACCTTGAATACAATCATATTTCCCTGAAAAGCATCCGTCAAAAGGATCTTTATTCTAATCCAAACAATCTTGATAATCTTATAGAATTGTGGAAAGAAAAAAATCATTTAAATCAAATATCTAATCAAATATATAATTAACATATCCTATAACCCTTTAAGCAGATATTAAAAACTTAATTTTTAATACATCCTAATATTACAAAATATAACCTCTCTTTTAGCATCTCAATATCACAGATGGGCTCTGTAAAGGGCTCTGTAAATACTTGGTTGGATGGCTTTGTGCTAAATATTGTGTTTGATTATTTAAGGGATATACAGATGGTATCATATTTAGAAAAACTTCTTTCTTTCATAATGTAATCTTCTGCAGAAATTATTTTTTATTGTTCTATTATAAATTATGTATTTACCAAAACAGGATGTAAAAGTCAAAATAACTTATCGTTAAAGTAATCTATTTCTTTAATATATTAATTTTTCATTAAATTATTGGATTAAATATATTTAAGGAATTCTATTTTTGAAAATATATGAATCACATTCATATATACAATCAGACGATACTTACAACTCAGATATTCCCCAAAAACTCTCATATCCAATAAAAATTATTGAAGCAATTGAATTTGAATGATTAATATCGATGATATTTACTTAATTTACACCATCACCCCAACAGGAACCTGATGTTCCACAAATACTCGGTTAAGTACATTCAGAATTGTAGTTTCCAGTAAAAACTAAAATATTATCAAGCTTGACCTCTAGTTTTTCACCTCCCCAATTATCAATACTAGATTAATAATTATTTTTAATGCCAAAATTTGAAATTAAATGATAGAGTTGTATGAGGAGGCATTTCAATATTTTTTATAATTACTGTATTTCTCAAAAAGTTAGATTTCCCTCCAAAAATCTCTGAAGATCCACAAATGGTTGTTACTCCACTTCCAGCTTAGATTATCCAATCTATATAATTTATTTAAAAAAATTATACCATTTTCGTAAATAACATTTCCAAAAAAATTAGAATACACTAAAACTTAGGCTTATATTGAAATATTCAGTAGATAAATCAAAAGAAAACGTGTTGGATTCATTTTAAAAGGCCGAAAATTGCTATACCTCTGGAAGATAATATGGTGTGCTTATGATTCAATCATTTCTAATTCTATTAAATAAAGATAATAAAATTAAGAAATCTAATATTTGTAAATATTTTATAGAATTATTCGAAAATCTGAAAATCGTATTTCATTTTCATGTAATTATAAATATCGTTATTTACCTATTGATTTAGCGTTCTGATTTTAGGTAAGATATCTCGCCTATTATAAATATATAAATTAAGTTAGTCAGAATTTTTGGTATTTTAGTCCTTAAAATTTTTTTTCAGTTTTTATAAATGCAACTAACAATTATTTCTACCTTGATATCAATATTATTGTATTCATTAAATTAAAGTCATCATAGACTATTGATCTATTTGAATAGATTAAATGCTAAGGTAAATATTATGGAAATCCAAGTCTTATAGATATGCTCAATTAACTTAAGAGATTTCTGAGTATGAAGATTATTAGCTGTTGTTTCAATTAAAGCTGTTATTAAATTTTATTGTTATTTAGACCAATGCTAATTTTTATGGATGGATGGTTGGCAAGATCAAAGAGAATATACTATAGTTAATAATTAAAAAAATTAAGCTTTTATTAAGATATTTTCACACTTCCATCTTCCATCCTGATGGTAGTTAGATTAAAAGAATATTTTGACTTAAAATCTCTATTACTTAGATTGATGGAAAGCTTAACAAAGACTCCATTTAATAATGAGTTCATTGGTGTTGAATATTAATTAAGATATAATGTAAGTAAAGATTTTATTATGACTTCCCTATTAGATTATTATTAATGTTATCACTTTGCACTGTTGGAAGTATCCCCTATATCAATATGCAAAACTGATTTTTATGATAATTTGATTTTAGTATTTTAAGAAAGAGTTAGTTAAAATAATATTCTCATATGTAAAATTAGATTTTGAATTAAAATATCATATTTTAAATTATTTTTCAATAAGGCTCGTCTAGATTGTTTCAAACAATCAGAAGAATTCAAAGCAAGGGCTCACTAATTCATTTTTGAATAAGATTAATATTTGTAACAAACATCCAGTCATTTTAATAGTAGCATTCCTGTTATGAAATATTACTTTATTTGATAATCCGTTAAGATTGACATCCAAGTATAAGTAACTTATGATGAACTCAAAAAGATGAAGTAAACAAATATAAATAACTTTATAAGACCAAAAGAATCGGAGGAGCCTTATCAGAGAGATTTTGGAAAGATTGAGAAAAAAAAACATTCCAGATCTTCTTGGATTTCTTTCAAAGAATCCATTAGAGAATTTTAAAGCAAGATAACAAAGTCTAAATTAGATGGTTATAGTAGAACTAGCTTTTTAGCATCCTTCTCTCCTGATGGCAATATATTAGCATCTGAGTAAAGATAATTTTAAACTTTAATTGATGTTAAGATAAGAGAAGCATACTGAATATACATAGCTACTATATCCATCTAATTTAGATTTTTTTGTCGTTTTATTAGTAGAGATATGAAATTAAGTCTTTCAATAAAGAAAGTTGAGATGTACATATGTTTGAAGTTGATTTTGAATGCTTTTTTCTGATAGTAGGAACTATATAAGCATCTGCCATATGGTAGTTAAGATAGTTCAATCTGTTCATTTATGGGTGTTAGGATAAGACTCCAATTATCTAAATTTGAAGGACTTAATGACTCAAATATAATTCTTTTTTTTAATTATATAATGTAATTTTTACTGCATATGATAACTTTGCCTATTCACTTACCATATTCTGCCAAAACTCTTTTAGTATAGCATCTATAAAGATTTATAACTTAGCTGACATTTCTAAAAACTTCTATATCATATTACCTAAGAATAGTATTTCCAAGTCATATCTCCACCCTAAATAGTTTAACTATATTAATCTTAGACATTAAAAGAGCATTCGTCACAAAAACCTTTTCAGTTACTTTTAATTTATATGACAACCAGAGCTAGAATTAACTTATAAGAATAAAATAAAATTTGAAACTATAAATTCAATTTATTGATTTGTCAATTAATAACAATAATCTGATTTAAATGACTAAAATCTTAAAAGTTATATTATAAGCTCTAATAATTATAAAAGTACTTTTTATTATATTATTTTTTATTTATTAAGGACAATTACTAATTCAATTAGTAATTCTTATTTTATAGACTAAATCTCAAATTTAAATATTTTTTTATGGCTTTCAGATAAGATTTAATTCGATGATATTTATTATATTTTTTTTATAACAGAAGTTTTAAGTACTTTCCAAAAAGACATTTTTTGCTTCTTCCATGTTTCCCAAAGCAAATAAATTTATATTATTTAATAATGAATTTAAAGATTCAACTGAAATAATGAGGTTAAAGATGTAATACCTTTATTTTAAAAAAAACTGCGGTTTCTTTAAGGTAAAGGCCTTGTCATAAAATTTCAATGGATTTACACTGATTGCTTTATTACAACAATCGATAGCTTCTTTATTTTATTTTAAATTGAATAACGCCCAAACTATTTATTTTCAATTAAATTATAAATTTATTCAGTAAATAAATCCCATGCTATATTCTATCTATCAATAAAAAATTACTTTTATTTTTAAATGACATATCATTATTAGGATTTAATTAAATAACTCAATAACAACACTTAATTCCTTCTTTTATTCTTGATAAATAAAATAAAATTAAATGAAAATGATTTAAATTTAAACACTAACCAAAAAATAATATATCAGTCGCATTACCTTTCTACATTAAGATCTTATCTATTATATTCAATAGAGACAATGAGTTAGTATGCAATTTTAAAGCTTCTTCATTTTTACATTAATTTGTTACATCATAAAATTATTTTATTTAAATACAATTACACAACCTTATTACTACTTTCTACTATTCAGTTTTCTAATTATCCTTTTATTTTAAGATCTCATCTATATCTTTTATTTAACTTATTAAATTTATTATAATTAAATTAGTTACTCTAAATATATTTTATTAAATATAACATTTCTTAATTTTTTCCTTCTAATGGATAGAATTATTTCATAATATTGATTTAGGATTTAAAATTTAAGTAATCTTCTGTTTTTAAGAATTAATTCAAACTTTTTAAAACTTAACAATTTTCTTCCCTTCTTTCATCCTAAAACTAAATTTATTCTTTTATTAAATTAGGTATTACTTTATACTAATTGATTCTAATTTGAAATGAGCAAAAGTTCCACCTAGCATATCTTTAAATTTCATCAGTCCCATAATTTCAAGTATTTCACAACAAAATAAAGATTAGATTCTTAAATCATTTTGCTTTCCTAAATTTGCGCACAATTGTACAATTTGACAAACCTTATCACTTTTAATGTTGTTATTGCATAAAGAGAAGTGATGTCTTGTTTTGCTGTAATTTTTTGTTGATTTTTAACAGCTCCCAAACTAATTATTCCATCCCCTAGTCCATAATCTTCTATTCCCATAAGCTGTTAAAAGACGATAACAATTATTAAAATTTTTTTCATCACTAAAAACAATTTGTTTTTAAAACCCACAATTTTGCTAAGAATTAAAGATCAGCAATTGTATAATAAGGCAAAATGATGACTTAAATTAAGNGATTCAACTGAAATAATGAGGTTAAAGATGTAATACCTTTATTTTAAAAAAAACTGCGGTTTCTTTAAGGTAAAGGCCTTGTCATAAAATTTCAATGGATTTACACTGATTGCTTTATTACAACAATCGATAGCTTCTTTATTTTATTTTAAATTGAATAACGCCCAAACTATTTATTTTCAATTAAATTATAAATTTATTCAGTAAATAAATCCCATGCTATATTCTATCTATCAATAAAAAATTACTTTTATTTTTAAATGACATATCATTATTAGGATTTAATTAAATAACTCAATAACAACACTTAATTCCTTCTTTTATTCTTGATAAATAAAATAAAATTAAATGAAAATGATTTAAATTTAAACACTAACCAAAAAATAATATATCAGTCGCATTACCTTTCTACATTAAGATCTTATCTATTATATTCAATAGAGACAATGAGTTAGTATGCAATTTTAAAGCTTCTTCATTTTTACATTAATTTGTTACATCATAAAATTATTTTATTTAAATACAATTACACAACCTTATTACTACTTTCTACTATTCAGTTTTCTAATTATCCTTTTATTTTAAGATCTCATCTATATCTTTTATTTAACTTATTAAATTTATTATAATTAAATTAGTTACTCTAAATATATTTTATTAAATATAACATTTCTTAATTTTTTCCTTCTAATGGATAGAATTATTTCATAATATTGATTTAGGATTTAAAATTTAAGTAATCTTCTGTTTTTAAGAATTAATTCAAACTTTTTAAAACTTAACAATTTTCTTCCCTTCTTTCATCCTAAAACTAAATTTATTCTTTTATTAAATTAGGTATTACTTTATACTAATTGATTCTAATTTGAAATGAGCAAAAGTTCCACCTAGCATATCTTTAAATTTCATCAGTCCCATAATTTCAAGTATTTCACAACAAAATAAAGATTAGATTCTTAAATCATTTTGCTTTCCTAAATTTGCGCACAATTGTACAATTTGACAAACCTTATCACTTTTAATGTTGTTATTGCATAAAGAGAAGTGATGTCTTGTTTTGCTGTAATTTTTTGTTGATTTTTAACAGCTCCCAAACTAATTATTCCATCCCCTAGTCCATAATCTTCTATTCCCATAAGCTGTTAAAAGACGATAACAATTATTAAAATTTTTTTCATCACTAAAAACAATTTGTTTTTAAAACCCACAATTTTGCTAAGAATTAAAGATCAGCAATTGTATAATAAGGCAAAATGATGACTTAAATTAAGCAATTCATTTAATGAAATTAAATTTTCTTTAACAATCAAAATAGTTTTTATTATTTATTTACAAATAGATTAAATTTAGTTAATTTGAAAATTATTATGATAAATATCATTTCAATTATCACCTTCAAATAATTGAATTAACTATTTTCATAAATTGAATCAATTTATTTGTAAAATATATCATCCAACATGATACAAGTATTTTTGTTAAAAAAATAAAAGCTATTAAAGCAATCTCACTTGACTTCTATATATGTTGTGCATCTCAAATTTATCTTCTTATACTTTCTATTCCTGTCTTCTTCAAGAAAGAAGATGCAGATTAATAAGCTAATTAAATTTGAGGATGATAAATAAATTTTAAATCTCATATAAATTTTAACTCAAATATTTCGCATTCAATGATTTTTGGGTCATTTTATCCAAATAAATGTGTAGAATTTTTATTCTCAAACTTATCCCATTAATATGAATTACCTAATTAAGAATACCCTTCCTTAAAACCAAAGCTAATATATAAATCAAAATATCCATAAGTAGGCCCATATCCAGAATTACAACAAATAGCTTTATTTTTTTAATCTTTTTTCAAAGAATAGATTTCATTATGTGTTTATGAGAATAGAAATGATGATTATGTATCATCATAAACCCAATTATCTCCACTATTTTATTAGCATTTACATGGAGAATATCCACCAAAAATATATTCACTCTAAGATTTAAATATCATAAGTAAATTACTTTGACCATTACATTTATTCCAAAATTAATTACCATTCAATCCATCTCTGCTTCCTTAATAAATTAATTCTGATTCTTTTATTGTTTTTTTCGATTTTTCTTATAAAAGAAAGAATAATCGAATCCAAAAATCCTCTTTTAATAATTTTGGTTTTATACTTCATTTTATTTAGATTTATATAAATAGATTTCAATTAAAAATTATTTTATATTTCTAAAATTTGATAAAACTTATGTTAGTGATGATCAATTATTTTACTAAGATCCATAATTATTGTAAATCCTTTTTATTGAAATTTAAATTTAAATAGAGCTAATTCACTAATGCTGCTTAAAGTTGATCTTTAAAATATTTAAATTAGGGAACAAAAAACAAGCTAACTACTATTATTTTGCTAAAATAGAAATAGGCCAGATGTGGAAAATTTTTAAGGAATAGTTTCTTCTAAACAAATGGAATTTCTTATAATTGCCTAAATAATTAGATGTGAGAAAATTGAAGTTTTTAGTTAAAAATTAGCTATTTAAATTTGAAAACAAAAAGGATCAAGCATTTGAATATTTTATTAGTAATTCTTTAAATAAGATTTAATTAAATGATCTAGTTTAGATATATACTAAACTTATCACAGGTAGTTATTAATCAAAAATCTTCTAAAGAAATCTTAATTACCAGGATTTTTGAGTCTAAACCATTTTTTAAACTTTATTAATTGAATTTTGCCTTTTTTATTAAGAATTTAATTGAGAAGGGTATCTAAAATTTAAAAAAAACTATTGTTAAAAGGAGACACATCTTCAAAGATTTCTGTTTTTTGTATAACTAAAACATATCTATCTATTATTTAGAGCTAAATAAAATTAACTCTCCTACTTATCATCAGTACATTATTTCATCATAAATCTAAATATATATTCATGATAATTATTTATGATCCTTATTATTTAAAAATAAATATTTATTGTTATTAAGTTAAAATGATGTCAAAATAATATCACTTTATTATCACTAGCTCTTAACTTGAAACTATTCTAATATCATTAACTCTAGTTGAAATTTCTGATCTAACACAAGCTATATAAAGAGATTAAAAAAAATCATAAAAATCACAATAATATAGCAGTCAAAGATTAAAAGTAGACCAAATTATATTCCAATTAAAAAGGAGTGAAAATTTCTAGTAGTTGTTCCCTACCCTGCTTTCCTACAGAATTTAACTATGATAAAAATAAAAATTATAAAAACTGTCACATTTGAAATTGTATATAATACTAGCATAAAAAGATTGTTTGAATTACTATTTTCATCTTGTTTATTATTTTCTACTTCCCTACTATTTCCTTCCCCCTTACCATGTCCTTCTTCCCTGCCATTTCCTTTACCCCTATCGTCATATCTTTCTAATATGCGATTTCTGTCATTACTATTACTATTAGCGTATTAAGAAGATTGTTAAAATATTCCCAATGCAAATTATAACATAAAACTAATTATACAACCAAAAACACCTCCAAATCCTAACCATAATTGTCCTCCAAGTGCAATTTGGTTTTCTTTTAATCTATCCTCTGTGCATCTACAATAAGAAAAATAATTTGCTAATAACAATATTAATCCAATAAAATCAAAGCCCAGTAAAATTGATGATAATACTAAAATAAGCATTTCATATCCAATTAAATCATCATTTAATGATGATAACATAGTAAAAAATGTAAATAAAATATCCATTACTTTATACGCTAGTACATAGTAAAATGTATTAGACAACTTTTAAAAAATGGACTTAAATTCAAAGGTTATTACAAATAAGTGAAATAACAAGTAAGAAATCAAATTAAACCAATAGGCATTACTCTAAAAATCAATTGAGACCCCTAAAGCTAACTGAGCACTTAAGAAAATAATCCTGCCGATAGATCCTATTGTGATATCAACTAAAATTGGAAGCGAAAAACTTTATCTAAGATTATTGATGTAAACGAAATAACCAAGTCAAGGATATCAATAGGTATATAGCCCATAGGTAAAATAAAACTTTATTTATTCTTATGAAAAATTGATACATTTATTTTGCTTAAATAAGTTAAGATGATCATATTCAAGACATAGAAATTCTAAATTAAGATGATAAGATCTTTTCATTTGAAAGGATTCATAAGTTTATCATATATTCACATTATATTTCTTCTAAAATAAAACTAAAGCCAGAATTCAATACTAAATTGCATTTAAGAGTTGAGAATAAATTTTACTATCTACAAAATAGAATGATCTAGATGTAATTTAGTTAATAGATTATAAATAATTATTTAATTTCATAAATAAATTCATTTTAAACAACCCATAAGAAAGTTTGTCTATTTTTATTCAGAGCTCTAAAGAAAAATTTATTTTTTGATGAAACAAAATATTCCAAGTTTAATATTGGACATAAAAATAATTTAGAATATAGTTATTTTTGTTAATTATCATCAAATCTTTCATAAACTTTAAATTACAACAATATCATCTTATAAAATAATGAGTATGATGAAACTTATTAGAAAGTGAATTGATAAAATTATTGACTATTATATATCTATTAAATGAGAAATTATAAACTCATTACTTATAGCTTATCAAGATGGATAAACCATAGAGTCACCTTTTTAAAAGCTATAATGTAATTATTATTCCTAGAGTAATATTGAGAATGTAATTATATTTGAAAAATCAGTCAATATCTTTGAATGAAAAAAAATGATTATATATTTTACAAGAATATTAGATTTCATAAAATAAATTACATACTTTAAAGATTGAATTAATTTGGCAAGATTATTCAACAACTATATTTTTTTAAAGATTAAGTAATATAATCAAGTTGGGTACTCAAGGCATACAAAAAATATTATAAAAAAAAGAAATTTTTGTTACTTATCAATTTTAGAATTTTATTTTTTCTTAGATGTATTGAAATATTATCAATCCTAATATTTTCTCATTTAGACTTTCTTTTCTTAATCATCATAGATTACTAAATATTCTCCATCCTCAGTCATTGATCCAAATATAAACTTGTGGTCAAATTCTAAAACCTATTCATTAATAAAATCACCATTACAGTTAATTCTTAGTAAATTAATAAATCTTCCATTTTTATTCACCAAAATTGATTTTTTTTTTATGAATTATTATGGAAAATAATTTTAACAATTTCTACTGCTTCTTACATTAACCTCCTTTGTTAATTTAAATTAGTTATTTTATATGTCTCTTTCATAAACATTCATTTTTTCTTTTGAATTACCTTAAAATACAAATATATCATCATTTATGTAGCACAATCTAAATCCTGAAGTATCTAGTTATATAATTTATATGATTTTCCATTCTAAATCACACTATTATTAGATTATAATAATTTGATTTTCAGAACTGCAAGAAATAATTTAATTAGATGAATCATTAATACATAGACTTAAAATCTTATTTTAGTTACAATTAATTGTTTGAGAACATTGCCATTATTCATTTTTGATCCTCCACAATTTAATTGATTTATCACTGCTTCCTGAGATGATTAAATCATCTTCTTGATTTATCCTTAGGCAATTTATAAAACTACTATGTCCTTATAATTTCTACTTACATATCCATCCATTCTTACTATCTTATTACCATAATATGATTGTATAAGAATCTCCTCGTGATATGAATTGTGTAGATTTATTCATAAAGCTAACACAACATACTGGAGTTTTGGTCTCTTATAATTGTTATATAAGCCTAACTTATCCTTTGTTAAATTCAAAAATTCAAATAATACCTGAGTTATACCCACCAACCAGAAATTAAGATTGTTGACTAAATGAAAAAGCAAATGCCCCTTATTATTCTAATACAGAATTAATAAGTTCATATTTAAATGGTTTTAAGGATTTCTTTGGAAAGCATACCATATTTGTAATATCATTCTATGAAAAATCTTTTATGCTCATGTTTAAAGTTTCAACCAAATTATTAAATCCATATTCCATTTATTTAAGAAACAAATTTACTAATATACTTAATTAATAATGAATTTTTAAGAAATAACAGGAGAAAATACTTATCCATTTATTTTAAATATTCTTGTCTTACTTTAAACTTCTATTCGAAATCTTATTTGATCTGTGAAAATTTATGATTGATTTGTTGTTCTATAAGAATATTCAATTAATTTATTATCAATTCAACTTCTTTTGATTATTTATGTTCAAGATCCATAATTTCTTAATAATCGGCATCATCACAAAAATTATTCTTAGTATTCATTAAAAATAAATTACTAAATAAAATTATAATAAAAATAAACCAAATAGCCCAATGATAAAAGTGTTTGTTTTAATTGATAAATAATATAATAAATGAAATTTTAGAAATAAATTGAATGCAGTGAATCAAAATTAAGCATCTCTCTTGAAAATGTAAGTTGCTCGTTATTTAAAATTAAAATATATTTAATATTAAATGAATTTAAATCAGTTGGAACAAACAATAATCATGATTAAATGTTTTATTAATTTTATTAATAATATTTATTAATATATGAAAAAAAAAAAAATAATAAATAACGCACAATAACCAAAATATTATGCTTACTAACATAATCCATAAATAAAAGTAAAATAAAATGAAAAAGGCGCAGCTACTGCTTTCAATAAAATGAACTGGATTAGCATTAAATCAGGAAGGGAACAAACTAATTACTTGTTAAGGTGATGGGTTAATTTTGATAATGTAGGGTTCTAATAAATCATTTTGGAAAGTGATATAATAGATAGGAGGTGGTAACTGTGGATATAGAGTAAATTTTATTACAAATAATATTTTTGTTTGTCGACCCTGTAGGTCTAATAGTCTGCATATGTATATAGAAAATTCGAACACAGGAAAATACTAACAGGCTAGAGACTTCAGATATAAGAAATATTAATATGAATGTTAAACATAATTTCCAGCAAGGTATTTTCCATAAAGATATTTATTATTAATAAAACATGGCGATACAATAAATTTAATTAAATTTAATTTTTTTGAATCATTATTATATTAGCAAGATTGTAATTGCATATTGGAATAGTGTTTAGAATTTAATTCAAATTAATTTAATGGAGGATTATTTGGAGGAGTTAGTGAAAATGGAGAATTTTTAGTCACCTGGGATTCCAGATCATTATAAATTTTAATTAGATAATTCAAAGAGATGTGAAAAAGTTGAATGAAATTATAATACATTATAATTTTTATTTTATTTAGTCAATCACTAAATAAAATCTTTTTTATATAAATTTTGTTTAATCATTTTGATGAACATTTTAGATTTAAAAAAGGAAGAATAAAATATCTTTAAAAATAAATGATATTTTCCTTAAATTTCAATATTTTAGGTATAATTTCTTTACAACCATAACATGAAACTGCTAAATATCCATCATAGTTCTATTCTCAGTCTACTTCAACATACAATGAATAATAACCAGGTTCTAATAATTTTTCAACCACAACATCCCTTTCAATATCAAAAGCTGAACCTGAATAATATAATATTTCTTTTGTTTTATTGTCTAATTCTCCTACAATCAATCTAGCTAATGAATAATGATGGCCTTTTTAAAAAAATCGGTTATCTGATTGAGTCAATGAGACAAATGCATGAGATTTTTCATAAACTCTCATCAAAATAACTTTTTTGGTTAGTGTGTCTTACTTCTCAACTTAAAATGGTGTTGCTGTTTATAAATAATATGGTTTAAATGGGGAAATGAAAAATAGAAGAAAAATTGAAGCTTCTTAGAAATATTATAAAGATATTCTAACATAATATAATAATATAATATTGCTTTATTTCTAATAATCTTTTTAAATTTTGTTTACACCAAATAACCTATTCTTAAAATTTCCCTAAAAAATAGTATCAGAATAAAATTTTTTTTAGAGACTCTCTATGAATTATCTGAATAAGAAAAATTAAGATTTATTAAATTTTGTTGGATTAAGAAAGATTAACGACTAATGATGATTAATTTTATCGAAGTTATTCAAAACTAATTCTTGAATGAGAATAAGTTAAAGCTATATTCATTCAATTTTTCTTCTTTTATCTCTGATTTGACATCAAACCTAGTTAGATTTTCTTTTTAATTGTTACTTATTATCAATAGAGCTGTTTTTCTAATTTTAGCTTTATTTTTTATAGAACCTGCTATGACTATATTATAAAATAAATTCCTAATTCCTAAGTTTTTAAAAGTTATCATTTTAATGAATATACTTTATTTACTAATAAATATAATCCCAAAATCAATTAAAAATTTGATTAAGAAATTATAAAAATAATTATAATAGATTGAGTTTGAATGAAGAATAAATCTAAGGATCTAAATCATCACAATTTTTAAGTAAATAATTAGTCAATTAATATAATGGTATCTTTAAAATTTCCTTTATGATTTATTAATTATATTTTTATTGATTCAATGTATTTTCATTATTTACTTATCAAATATTGTTTAAGATTCTTTTCTATGAATATTGTAATCTTTATCATAAATCTTTATTATTGTTATAAGTTTAGAGAGAAAAGAAGGTTCTCTAAATGATTTTCTTTTCTGTGTTAGATTAGATAGAGGATATTTAAGGTATTTTATGTGAAAAAAAATTGTAAAAAGCGATCAAATAATTTAGCTATTTTAATAAAATAGAAATTGAATAGGATCATGAAGAGAGTTGTTTAAAATGTAGAGCTTAATTAGAAAAGATATTCAAAGATAAAGATGAGTTAACAACTAGTTATTACTAATCATCACCTCAATGAATTAAATAATTAAGTAGGATTTATTGATTAAGTTATATAAAGTGATTAAAGAAAAAGCATATCAAATGCAGAAAGGAAAGATTTCTTAAAATAATAAATCGATTTCTCTTGAATAAGAAAATTAATCTACTAGATAAGATAGACATCCAATAATGGCATCAAGTATAGTAAAACCTAATGAAATTAATGATGCAGATAGGAAATTGGAGGATCTGGATAGTGTTATGCTATCCTAATTAAAACTATAAATTCAATCCCTTTAATAATAACAATAATCATCAACAAGATTAGATTAATAATAATCTTAATATGAATCTCCTAGTCTTCAAATTCTTCTAAGAAAGAGAGCTTTAATCTTAGGAAATTACCAAGTCGATCTATTAATTTTTCAAAGAATTAGTATATTTAACTCATATTTTTAAATAATTTTATTTATGTTATAAATTATAAATGGATTCACCAGAACATTAAAACTAAGTTTAATAACTTCAAACATATCTAATTCAATTAGATGTAGAAGAACCTAATGAAGCACCTATAAAAGACTAGCTCCAAAATTTGAAGATTTAACCATCATATTTATTTTTGAGACTCTAGAAACTAGATTATTCGTATATGTTATAGTGGCATATGGATCTGATATTTTGATTGCTGCAATATTTTTAACTTGTAATTTTAAAGGTGGACATGTTAATCCAGCAGTAAAAGATAATATTTGAAAGAAGAACAATATTATAAAAATTTGGGGTTCAGATATAAAACGATATTCACTAAGAAGATTTTTAATGAAATTATAATTTCATTAGATTGATTTACGTAAAATTGATCTGAATTATTTAAAATCAAGCATATCTTGAAATTCAAGGAAATTAAAAATAAACTATAGATACTTTAATTTCTAAAACGTAATTAACAGCCATTTATAATAGATATTAAATGTTCTTTCAACCAATAGTTGGAAGAAATAAGTTAAGAAGAATAATAATAACAAGAAATAGTTTAGATGTGTGTTATTTTCTAATTTTAGTAAATAATTTATTTTAGAATTGCAGGATGGCAATATTTATATTTATGATGCAGCTTAATGGATAATAGAAAAATATAGAAAACTTCTTTGCAATAAGATCTTTGCTAGAAGTCAAATTTTACTCGCTGATTGTAGTAGCATTAAGGGATCAATATTTTTAACATAAGAAAAAGAGAATCTTCAAAAACTATTCTTGTAAAAAGGAGCAAAAAAAGATGATTGAAATTCACAGATCAATTATTTAATAATATATAAATTATTTATTATAAACTATATTTATATTATAAAAAAAAATAGCAATTAGATAGCTTAGGCAATAAATGCAATTCAAATAAATGTCTTGAAAAATTTGAAAACAAGAATAGAATTTACAAAGCAGATATGTTTTATGATTGGGAAATAAAAAAGTTTGGAGTTAGAAGCAATTTTCATAAGAAATTGAGTTACTTCAAATAATATTATATGAAGTAATTAAATATTTAAAGCTAAAGAAGTAAGTTAATTAAGTATAATAAACGCCTGTTATTTAATCAAAATTTAAGAATTATAGATGGACTGATCAAGTTCATTATAGATATATGGACGTACTTTGTAGTCAAAGAATGTGATATGAATTACCTACCTTATCTAAAATATTATAGCTCTAAATAAAATAAATCAAATTAGAAGAATTCTTTTTTCTATTATATTGATTCAAAATTTTGCAATAGCAGTGCACCCGTTTTATTATTGATCTTTTTCCTATTACTATTAAGTAAACATTTTTTGTCATTTTTCATATATTTATAATTTACTTACATAATTATTTGCCATCTTTTTCAGATCTTTATCATATAAAAAACAAAATACTTTGAGTACTTCTTTGAAAATTATTTTTATAAGCATTCTCTTCTAATAAGTTTATTATTATTATTTGCAAGAAACCATATTAATATAATTTAATTTGAATTAATTAAAAATACAATAATAAGTAAAATAATAAAACTCTATACACAAAAAAATCATCATCTTTATTTTTTATAGTTTAAGTCTCTTTTTAATCAAATCTTAAAGTTATTATAGAAAATCTATCCTATACGTTTATAAAAAAAATTTTTTTAATCATTCCATTAATTACAATAATAAATTAATTTATTTAAATGGCCTATTTATTTTGGTTAACCGCTATGATATTCAAAATTGCATTAATAAAATTAAGTTAAGAGTTTAACTTTTCTCTTGGTATTCCATTGTTTACAATATTTTTGATGATTAACAATGAAAGCAGAGAGATAATTAAATCTGTGACCTGAAATAATGAAATCAGCTTAACATATAAGACCGCCTAATAAATTAGCTCAGAATTTTTCTAAATAATTGAATATCATCTTTGAAGATTTAAATTGCTATGATACATAGTATTGTATCATTAAATCATCGCTCATAATTAAATTTAATAATCATTTAATTTAATCATGTAATTTAGCAATAAGTTTAAATTATTCGCTTGAATATATATATTTTAATTTCTATCTAATCATTAATAATCTCTTACTTTCTCTTAAAGTATTAATTCATATATTGTTTTTTATTTTCTATTCTGAAGTATCAGCTTTTTTATACTACAATTAAATTAATCTGAATAATTAATATTTATTATTTTACTTTTATTAGAAAAAAATGTGTGCAAAATCTAACTTTGTCTAACCGATTTTTGTAATTTACTTGATCTTGAATGCATGTTTTGCAGAAATCTAACTTATTGATGAAGACTTTATAGCCTATTGTTTCTGATGAAAGTAAATCAAAATTAATAATTGTAAGGTTGGTATTGTTGGAGTTAGGATAGTTGTTAAAAGTCATATTGTGGAGGATCAGCTATTTTTGGTGGTTATAATGGATTTGATTATCATACTTTGATTTTTCCACATTATTAAATTGATATCAGAATTAAATTTTGGCGGTTGTGTAATATATTATCTATATAAGATTGACTAATGGAATTTAAATGATCAATTTACCATATATGTTGATAATACCCTAGTTCATAAATATGTATACTCAAGCATAGATAGTTCAACAAATATTTGTGGATCTAATGATTATGATTCAGTGATTTAATTTGATTTAATAGTGGATCATTTTAGTACTTCATCAATAATTTTCGTGACAACTATAAATGGCGGATGGTGGGGTATTTCTGAGTTTAGACAATATGTTCTAAAATGTCCTTTTGGGTGTGATTCCTGCAATTTATATTATTGTTTTAAATAAGTGTTATTTTTGGAGCTATTTAATAAGAGGTTGTTTAATATTCAAAACTGGGAAGGATGGTATCATAATAATAATTAAATTATTGATATCAATAGTAATTGGTGTGGTATTTATTAAAATAAATGAATTAATAGGGTTTGATAGCCAATATTCTCCTGGTGATTATCTTACAAAATCTTTCATTTTAGGAAATCATTTTGCAGTCAGCTTCTAATTAAAAGTGGCAATTTATTTTGCTATCAATTCTAAGGTTAATGTTGAAATAGATGGTAATTTAATATCCACTTCTGAATTGAATCGCTAAATACCAACATACATAAATGATGACTGCGGTAAAATTTTAATCTTAGATCAAATAAATATATATTAATAAGAGCATACGAATAATGTTTTAACAGTTAAAATTGGATAGTTTTATCAAATTATTATGATAGCAGGGTAAGGTTTGGAATAAGAGACTTTTAATTATTTATTTAGCATAATTTAGATACTTATTCAAATATTAATCTATTTGATGAATTTTTTACTTCTCAGTTTAGGTGTATTTAAGGATGTAGTATTTGTATAAAGGGGATCTGCTTTTAATGTTAAGAGGGATGGGAATATATAATATCAATAAAAAATTGTGTTCCTATATGTGGGGATTCAATAATTCTTTAATATGAAGAATGCGATGATGGGAATTTCATTCCTTATGATGGTTGTCATCTTTGTAAATTTTAATGCTCTTGGGATTGTTTAAAGTGCTAATTTGGTTAATGCTTAGAATATTAGCAATCAATAATATAGATTAAAAGTGATTGCGTCTTTGATCAAAAAAACTTGAATGAATATAAACTTAAAGAAAGTAATTTTGATTCTTATTTTATTAATTTTATTGTTTAAAGTTATTATGATAACTTTTTGAATTAAAGATAATCTTAATAAACTATTGGAATTATTCAGATTTGCAACCTAAAAGATTTGGATTCCACATTTCAAACAACCTCAAAATTTAAAACTGTGATAAATAATTATTTGATTAATGTTTGAAATGCTAGCTCTTCTATTAATTGAGTTTTAACAAATAGAAATGTATCCCTTATTGTAATGATGGGATCAAATTATTGGATGAGATTTGTGATGATAAAATCCAATTTGATGGTTGTTACAAATGTTAAGAGAGTTGCTAGCTAGAATGCTAAATCTGTATATAAGTTTATTGTTATGAATGTAAAGATGGCTGGAAACTTTTGGATCACAGATGATATCCTCAATGTGGGGATAATAAAGTTGCAAAACTATCTTCTGAATAATATGATGATGGTAACTATGAGCCTAATGATGGATGTTATGAATGCAGATTTGAATGTGATGAGAATTGCCTTATATGTGCTTCTAATGACTTTTGTTCTCAATGTGTAGTTTATTTTGAAGAGATTAATAGTAAATGTATGCCTGTTTGTGGTGATGGATTTGTGGTTCCTATATTAGAAGAATGTGATGATAAAAATTAGACCCCATTTGATGGGTGTTATTAATGTTAGTTTTAATGTGAAGAGAAATGTGATAAATGTGATAAGGGAAATTATATTGAATGGCAAAAAGGGTATTAAGTGGATGAAAATTAAAAATGTTTATTAATCAAATCAGGAGAAGTAAAAGATGAAAAAGGTGATGAATAATAATAAATATGGGGAGATACAATAAGGCAATAAAATGAAGGGTGTGATGATGGAAATGGTTACAATTATGATGGATGTTCATAATCGTTTTAAGTTGAAGATAGTTGATATGTAACGAAGAAATACCTAATAAATGCTATCGTAATATTTAATTTTTTCTTACATTCCTCAACAAAACTTATGATAATCAATATGTAAATTTAACTTTTAGTTAAAAGGTTAAATGGATGGGAGCTTTCTCAAATTTCACTTAAGCAATCTTAACTAAAATAAAAGGGGTCGAAAATGAATATTTATTACTCCCATATGAATT